CGATGGCTCATCGCTGGAGGTCGACGTGGACTCGAAGAGCTTGATAGCCACTCCACGTAGTGATCGAGAGAGCCAAGTGCCTTACAAGTCCATTGGACTCTTCCATACAAAGCATGAGCCAATGTTTACTGCTTCATCTGCGGCAAAGCCGCCTGTGCGCAGCTGAATACGTTCCTTCCTGTCGAATGTTCGATAGCCGGTTAAATGAATAACATGTGGTTTCGATGGCCATCCACTAAGTTGTCCTGTTAAGTACTCAGCGCAAAGCTGTTAAGTGCCTCAGTGTCAAGTACTGCATTATGTTACAGTGCTCATCGTGAGCAGCCTATGATCTGTGAGTGGATAGTCGTCGTCGTCGTAGCCCACGTGGTGGACTTGCTGTAGGATCTGTGGTTGCCTGGAACTTTTGGGAGAAAAACATGGGTATCGTCCGCAGATTTTATGCACGAGGGTCGGACTGCGACATCGATGTCCACTGCACAAGCTGCTCAGCCCTTTCTGTCTGTGTAAAGTGCAGAGCATAGTCCGCTGGACTGTCCAGTCTCCTCGATGATAGTAAGTGGACACGTCTGCCTCGCTAGATGGCCGTCAGTGGATGTAACTGGACGAATGACTGGACCTAAGAACAAGAGCACTGGCAACCTCTGCTCTCTCTTGCTACAGCGCGACTTGTCCATTGTTGATCATCATATGACGAGCGGTGAAGTCCGCACCATGCGACCAGCTTTTGACGTCCATCTTGGATGGAACAGATATACTTTGCGATTGAGAGCACTGTCCATGAGCACCTTGTACGTCTGATCAGACGCGGAGCGCATCTTGCAAGCCACAAAGTTACGCAGACGCCTTGTCCTCCCCCGTCAATCGGTGGAAAGCGTCAGCCAAGACGCATTCCTTCCTTTCGCCTATGTGGAGATAGAACTTGTTGGGCACACCGATGTGCGCGTCTGGTACGAGAAACGGTTCCGCCGCACCACGGGTATCTGTCATCCCGTCGCCATTGTGTCGAGAACGAGCGTTACAAGTGGTGAAAGAAGCAATTCTCTTACACATCGCGAGCTGATCTTACTTGAGCGACACACTGTTTCCAATTTTGCTCCCCCTGGAAGAGCCAACGCGGTCTCGGCGTCGTTTACAGCATATTGGCCTTCCGTGTAATTCCTCCTCTATGCTTAGGTTGTATCAGCAGGTATGCACAAACGTCAATGCAGGACTTACACGAGTGAACCCGTCATTACAGGCTCGCAGCAAGCTGCTTGGTTCTCAAGTTCGAATGTTGCACCGAATGAAACCTTTCTGGATGCAGTGCAAGTAAGATGGTAGAGTGGGCTTGGAACGAGAACCTCTGACCTTGCGAGTGCCTGGTGGAACATACGAGTACCACATCGATAATCTCGGCAACGCATCCCGGCTGACGATGCGTACGATGACGCACGGTGTGCTTTTGTAGGGCAAGTGGCAAACAGTGTTTGAACACTTCGCTGTGCCCAGCCACAGTCTAACATCGTTTCTCTTTAAATTGCAACTTGCCCAAGAAAAGAGTACTGTACGCTGTGAAAAGGCTATTGCTCTCGTTGTGATCATGTCGGAAAGTTGCTTGCACGACCGATGTGAGGCACAAAAAGAAAGCTGCAGCTTGCCCCGTATGCCTGGATAGTCCTTGACGACTGGGCTCAACAAATGGCACTTCTTGTGGTGTCTGCATGCTCTGACATCTGTTGCGCGCTATGGTGTCCACCACTCGCTACAGTGTCCATGTGACAAAGCTGCTGATGGCTCTACTGTCGTACGTGTAGTGCGAGTTACGGTAGTGGTATTGCGCAACTACTCGGTGAGCCAAACGATGACCACAAACAACTTTCTCCTGCCGGCTGTGTGTACCTGCGATGTCCTCTTGTATGCGGTGTGCCAACTCGATCGAGCGGTATCAAGACTGTCAAGCTCGTCCTATGCTGTGCTGAGCGCGGTCGAGAATTTGGTGATCGATCACGTGCGTCGAGCACGATGTGAGCGACAGGTTCGAACAGCAAGCGTGCAGGTAAAAACAAGCAAGCGTTGTCTAATGGCTGCTACAATTGAAGTGTTGGATGTGCCACCACAAAGCAGTGGCTCCTCCAAGGCTCAGCAAGTCTCGACCGCGAAGCCTCGATTCACCACAACGCCAGTATTACTCATCGAGCAACCATCTGAAGTAATATCTCCATTAGTAACGCCCTCTGGCGCGTGCACACATTCACGCGCACGTAAAGCCAAAATGAGCACGGAAACAGCGGGTTGCTGAGCAATGATGCGCTGTGGGGGCTCCTCACCACTTGCACTTCCCACCGTCCGTCTCATCTACGTGTGTGTGTGTGTGTATGTGTGTGTGTGTGTGTGTGTGTGTGTGTGTGTGTGTCAATCCAAGTCGCAGCGACCGACCACAGACACGACCAGCTGTCTCGCAACGTGGGAAAAGTCTGATGTTCTGCTCGTTTCAGACGGTTTCGCGGCCATAGAGTCCGAAAGCGACGCGCTCCGTTTGCGCCTTCCATTCGATCGATCGACCGACCGATCGACCGCTCGTCGACTCGCTCTCTGTATGGGATATCCGCCACGCCGGCCAAGTCGAGCCAACTTATCCATCTCGGCCCGTTTCTACGCGAGTTCAGACAGAGCAGCGCATGTGCGACCAAACAACAGGTGGTCGCGAGCCGGCAGCATATCAACATCTCCTCTGCGCTCAGCCGCCGCCGTCGACGCGACATGGACTCCTCGTCGCGCGACCCGCGACTGCGGTCGTCGGTGCTCAAGCGCGTGGCGTCCAATCTCCACTCGCGCTGCCCGCTGCCCGCCGACTTTTTCCTCCCCGTCACGTGCGCTGCCGAACAACATGCGCTCTTCCGGGCGCAAGCGGACCGATTGGCCGCTGACGCTGCGCAGAAAGCTGCGGCAACGGCCGCCGGGAGCTGCACGACCGGCGCGGACGACTGGAAACTGCACAACTCGCAGCGCCACTTTCGCGAGACCGGTATCCGCACCGCCAGTCGACGCCGCGACGCCCGTGACCGCGACGGCCACCGACAGCTCGAGTTCTGCTGCGTGGGCCGCGTGGAGATGCCGGTCGAGCACTGCCTCGACGCGCTCTACTCGGACACGACGGCGGACTTTCGCAGCAACTCGACGTTCCTGGTCGAGAGCGTGCTGGACGCTGTGGTCCTGAAGGCCCTCGAGACGAGAACGGACGAGCGGCCACACCACTACTTGGGTCTCAACTGGATGGCGAGCCGCTCGCCGGGTCTCTTTGCCAAGAACCGGGACCTGTGCTATCTCCGGAGCATGGACATGACAGTGGACAGTCAGCAGGCCAAGATAGGGCACGTGGTCATCCAGTCTGTTGATGTCGCGGAGTGCTCGTCATTGGAGAGTGCGCTCGGCCTCCTGCGTGGCACAATGTCGGCCGTGCTGCTGTTCAAGAAGAACGCAGAGTCCCGCTGGACCGACGTGTGGTGGCAAGGGTCGATGCGGGTGACTAGTAGCTCCTCGAGCAGCAAACTCATCAACTTTGTGCACGACACGTTTACGTCGATCGTTTGCAACCTGCACAAGGTTCAGGAAGCGAAGTACATGGCCCAGCAAGTGAAATCGCAGCGAATCCAGCGTCTGGGTGCCAGGTAAGCACCTCACTACTGCTACTGCCACTGCTGCTGCTGCTGTACTGTTGTGTTGCTATTGAGTTTGCTGACACTTTGTGGTTTGTGTATAAACAGAGAACGCAAGCGCTGCTACATTTGCAGCAAAAAGTTTAGTCTCGTACGCGTTCGGTCCCAATGCAGTGCCTGTGGTGAAAACATGTGCAAGGACTGCGAAGTTGCAAGTCGGGCGAGAGCATTCGGTAGCGAAAGCTTTGACCTGCCAACCCCAACGAGTCGCCCGGACCTCGTGCTGTTCTGCAAGAAGTGCGTGTCCGAAGCCCATTGCGGCATGGACGGCCGACCAGGGCTGGCGACCACACGAGCGAACTTGTCCATGTTCTCGTGTCACGACGGCTCGCTCACTGCTTCAGCCGTTGAGGAGGGGGGCCATTGCGGTTCGACTGCTGGCCGGACGCCCAACCGCAGCTGCCGAACAACCAGCACGGGCTCGTTGCACAAGATAGTGGCCAACTTGGGTGAAGGGCCAGCCCCATTCAAGGGCAAGCGTCCTGGCCTCGCGTCGCTGTATATCACGGCCGCCATCCAAATGTCGAGTGCTGGCGAAGTGCCAATGAGTCCCTTGTCGATCCGAACAGAGCGTGAGAAACAGCGCTGTCGGTTGGAGTCCGACCCGATGGAATCCTCGGACGGCTTGGACAAGGACAAGTACGGCAGTCTACTGCAAAAGGACGGACACGGCTCGCAAGAGCGGCAGCGGGAGACCTGCAGTAGCTCGAGCAGCTCCAAGTACGCGGCATCGGACCGGTCGCACGACGCACGCGACAACGACATGGCGAGTCGGTTACGCGACATATCACAGCGCGCGCAGGAGGCGCTGGACGTGACGAAGCGCAACTCGCACATGATGAGCAGCGACACGAGCAGCGCCCCGCGCGTGTCGGACCTGTCTGCTTTCAAGGAGCTCGACAGGTCCATTGCCGAGCAAGCGGATCTGCTCAATGCCATTGGCTTCGTGAGCACCGGTCGAGTGTACATGGAGAACGCGGGCTACGATCAAGGCGGCGTGCGCATCAGTGCGTCGTCGAGTACGATGAGTGAAGACGAGCGGTTCGAAGTCATTGCGTAGTGAGGAGCCGTTGCGGCGGAAGTAGCAGCAGCGACTACAGGCGACGCCCTAATGTATTCAGTTAACCTCTCGCAGTGAGTCAGTTGCAGCGGAGACCGACCGACCGAGCGAGCGAGCGAGAAGATGACTGGTGCGTAGAGCTCCACACAGAAAGTCACACACACACACACACGTGTGCGACTATCCGAAGAGCGAACTGCCTCTGGTCGCCCATTGCTCAGCTCGACGGCAAACGAACGGCTATGACAGGCCACGACGTCCCTCTGTCCTCGTCATTGACGCTGGGCCTCGGCCTGCTCGCCGCCACGATGACGATCGTCACAGCGGGCAGCGTGGGGCTCGTGGGCTTCATGTTGGGTCGTCAGCTGCCGTCGCAAGGAGATACCAACAGCGCTTCTCAACACGGAAAGAGTGCGGTGGAACAGGAGCGACGCCACCGACTGCGCATCCCGAGCGGAACGGCCAGCGAAGACGTCAAGATCTCGGACAAGAACGCGATCGTCGACGTGCGGATCTCGGGCATTCGGCCGCTCATTCCGCCGGCGATTCTGCGCGAGGAGATCCCACTCACGACGACGATCGTGCAGACGGTGAGGCCGTTGCGGATGACGTCGTGGACGGCGCTCGGGGCATTGGACTGACACTTGTGTCTGCCTCATGTTTAGATCACGCGAAGCCGACAGAGTCTGGCCAACGTCTTGCGGCGTCTCGACGACCGTCTCATTGTCGTGGTCGGGCCGTGCTCTATCCACGACGCGGACGCTGCAATGGACTATGGTACGTCAGTGGGTCGCGATGGAAGAAGGTGTATCATCCTGTGGCAAAGTCTGATGGGTCAACGCGTCTTGTCACTTGCACTGCAGCGAAGCGCTTACTGGGGCTCAAGAAGGAGCTGAACAAGGAGCTGCTCATTGTCATGCGCGTATACTTTGAGAAGCCACGGACGACCGTCGGCTGGAAGGGACTGATCAACGACCCCGACCTTGATGGATCGTTCAACATCAACAAGGGGCTGCGGGTGGCACGGGAGCTACTGGCTGCGATCAATGAGCTCGGTCTGCCGGTATGTCTGCGCTTGTCATTCGCCGTCCAATGGCCTCAATCACCGCTCACACTGACCACTCTCGTGATGGTCTACAGGCTGGCTGCGAATTCCTCGACACAATGTCGCCGCAGTTCATCTCGGATCTGGTCAGCTGGGGCGCCATTGGTGCCCGTACTACCGAGTGCCAGCTGCACCGAGAGCTGTGCTCGGGTCTGTCCATGCCCATTGGCTTTAAGAATGGAACGGGGGGCGACCTGCAGTTGGCGGTGGATGCCGTTGTGGCGGCGAAGCACTCGCACTGCTTTCTCAGCGTGAGCTCACAGGGGTTGGCCGCTATCGTCAGCACCTCTGGGAACGACACGTGCCACCTGATCCTCCGCGGCGGCAAGTCGGGTCCCAACTTTGGCAAAGAGCACGTGCAGGACGCGTCTGCTCGCATGCTCCAGGCCGACCTGGTGGACAATGTCATGGTCGACTGCTCGCACGGCAACTCGCAAAAGAAGCACAAGAATCAGGTCGCAGTAGCTGCCGACATTGCCGACCAACTGCGCGCCGGTGATGACCGCATAGTCGGCGTCATGCTCGAGTCCAATATCGAAGAGGGCAATCAGTCGCTGATTCCTGGCAAACCGCTCGTGTATGGCAAGAGCGTGACCGATGCCTGCATGGGCTGGGACACGACCGTCGAGGTGCTGCGCGATTTGGCTGCTGCTGTGCGCGAACGCCGGGCGAAGAATTGCGAGTAAGAGGCCACGTCAGAGACAAGATCGGGGGCGTGTAGCGGCCAGTTTACTCTTGTGCTCTCGTTCTCTCATGTGAGTCGGATCGTGTGCTTGACGTGCATTGTTCGCTGTCGATAGCGAAATGGTCGTCTCGAAACCATTTCTGACCCAGTCGTTTCGGACTCCATTGTCAACTATTGTTGCGTCTGTTCCTGTATCTGTCTCACTCCTCTTTCCCACTTTCATCGGTGGAGCAGCGATTACCAGCGGTTGCAGGAGAGTAGACATGAACCACACTCGGCCATCCGACTGCCTCTGCAACGACGTGAGCCTGTTCCGAGTCATTGGCACGATTTGTGCCAATGTAAATACAATCGTAATTAATCAGGAGATTCATAGGTAGACACCACCCTTTGATAGGTACACACCCCTGAAATAGAGGCCTCTCCTTAAGTACCGTAACCTCCCTTACTAGGTACTGCCCACTTACACATACAAAATGGAATGAAATTCCCTTTGATTCGTACAGCCCTCCGTTTAGAGGCCTCTTTTGTGTCAGCACATAGCCTTGCGTATGGTTCCGCTATCATTATCCGGTACTCCCCCCTATAAGAACCCCTAATACTACCATTTCCCCTATTTTATCGATAATTCTGATGCAGGTCATCCACACCCACGGTGATCCGTCAAATGTTCAGTAGACTTTAGGGAGATCGAAATGATGGCGTTCAAATTCTCGATCGATTTCCAAAATGAGATGATCTTCTCGTCCCAATCGCGCACAAAAATCATGTGCGAGTCCATTGTCAGGCGGAAATGCTCGTCCATGGTGGCCTTTCCGTCTCGTACCGCGCAGCAGTGGGTGTAGCAGGGCATTGACAGCTACGTAATGGTCTGCCAGTACGAAGTCAACTTTTACTGACAACAGTGAATGTCAGTGCCCTGCTAAGTGTAAGCACTACGCAGAGGGAGGATGAACCTCTAAAGCAAGGCTCTAGTTGTAGGAAAAAGTAAGACAGTTATTTAATGCAATTAAGTCCTTTACTCTTGTTTTCTGTTTGTCCTGACTTTTTCATATTTATATAACAAAACTTATGATGACGTCTACTCGCCACCCTTTTGCGCGCGTCTAGCAGCGATTGGTGGGTTGATATAGTCATAATATCAAACAATGAGTAGATTCTTCAGTCATCCCAACGATATCACTATACTTAGTGATATTGTTACAAGAATATTCAACGTGATATTCTTCATTGCCATTTTATTCGTGATGACGATTTTATGTAACGGGGTAGCCCATAACATCAACCCCCTTAACTGATAGTCACATGGTAACTATCGAAACTTGGTGGCCACTCGTTGGACACCATCGGGACGGGTAGCACTAGTTTGGTCAGATCCATTCATAACTGACCTTGCCTCGCATAGTCAACATGTCCCTGCGGGGAGACTCCAAAAAAACACAGCCTTTCGCTGCGTCAGCCTCTGCGGCAGACGACTCGTCATCTGCTGCTCGCTCTTTGCATTCAGCACCTGTTGTTGCAGGCGCACGGTATCACACCTCGTGCACACGATGACTCCGAGTCGGGGGTCATCTACTCTGGCGAGTCAGATGCGTCTGATTCGGGAAAGGCTCCAGAGACACCGCAATCACCTACGTCGTCTCTTTCTCCTTCGAAGGAATGTCGAACGAACGGACTCGCGACTTGCGTCACAGTCTGTTCGGCAGCGACGATGAGCACGGTCGTGGGTACAAATACTCATCACCACGGATCAACTCGTGTGTCTTCATACGAGCGCGTAGACGATCGCGCGAGCCGTCGTCACTCTGAAGCCCGTGGTACCGATCAAGTTGTCACGTTGAAGCGCGATGAGCTTGAGCCGTAGCGCTTGCCCGAGTAGCTCATCAATAGCTTGTCTTATGAGACAAGCCAACACCATCAAATTTTCTTATTCGATGCGAGCGAGCTTCATGGCTTGAATTTCTATCGCGAAGAACTTTTGCGCTGAAGAAGACTTCTATCTCGATGCTTTCTTAAGCATCGATGGTACAACAGTACCAAAAGCGCGATAAGAACTCGCATTTGACGGGGTGGAACGCGTTCGCTCAAAGCGTTTCGAATTTTTGGACGTAAAGCGTGGCTCAAAAACATAAGAAAGCACGCGTCAAGTTTAAAAAGAGAATGCTAACCGGTGAAGGGTGCAGGTTGCATCGATTGTCACGTGAGGCAGACATTCCTTGCCTCACATGGGATTACCCTTGTGGGAGTTGTATCGAAAACTCGCAACGCGCTTAAATGAAAGTGTGTTCCCTAAGTTTGACCTGGGCAAGGGAACATATCTCAGCTGAGATGCGGGACGCGATTGCAAACTTGCAATCAGTCTACAAACACCAAAAGCGCGTGATTACCGATGGGCCCGAGGATTAACCGGATGAGTGTCGTCGTACTGTCGGACGAGACCCTTAACATTAGCTATCAGCTGGGACCGATGCTCCCATCTGTCATACGAAGCTGTATACCCTCGCTAGCGGACAAGGCAACTTGCCCGTTCCCCTCTCGTTACGCGGTCGCTTAAGATACGCCCAAGTGAAAGCGTCGACCACCGTGAGAATCCATCAGTGGTTCAAATGGTGGTAGAAAAACAAGTTCCGGCCCAGACGATGACCTGCAGGATATTTTTAAAGCACCATGAACGCGTCCTAACCGAGTTGAGGGAGGACTTGGAGCACGAAAACAATCGTCGGCATGACTTACAGACGACCGTGCGCCATCTTCGTACAGATCGTAAGAAAGACTGATCGAGTTTCGCGTTCACTTAGCTTGAGAACGAACGAGCGTGTCGTCCCCTGCGCGATGAGCTGATGGCGTCCAGTCGCGATACTGCGTTACTAAAGGACCAACATTAGAGTTTGTTCCGTGATCAAAAGAATCTGTTGGGGATCCTTGAGCTTGCTGGTTATCTCCGTTCTTGAAAGATTCTCGTGATTACAGTACGGACGAGACGACCAACAGTTAACGTAGGATGCGTGCCCAATGTACAGGGCAAATAAATTGTGTATGCATTGCCTTTACGGTGCAATATACGAAAGGGACTAATGTATTTCGGCAGTAGTTTACTACTGCCGCCACAAGTGACTTCTTTATAGGTTGGTTTACCGTAGACATTAGTAATATTCCCTTGGCCTTACATGGAAGAACATTTGCTCGCTCATTCTTGTCTGCGTTCCGTTTTTGGCGGATACCACGTTAGCGATGGAGTCCTGAGCGAAACGGACAACCGCTTCTCGAGTCCACAGAACGTTCTCTATTGACTCGTTGTTGTGTCTTTCAGTGCGCTTTGTGCGCACTGATAGGAGGTAATTCTCCTCTTCAGCGAGGGTGTATCCGTTCTCGCTGGCATGATCATTGTGATGCTGAGCTTGCAGTATCGTCATTATTGTCTGACATAACAGCAGCGTCATAGCTACTGCTAAGACCAACTTCGTATATATCGACATTAACGACATCGGCGTCAAACGTATAGGCGTGAACGATGATACGTGATGAGCAAGATCCAAATCGGCTTTTTCTCGAGCGAGTTCCTGCCGCTTAATCAAGATTCATTCTATATCAGGGCGGTGATACGTGGATGGTGTAAGCCATTCACGTAGAACAGTGTATGAGTCGTGGACGCATGCAAGGAGTTGTTGATGGAGAATACCATCGGCAAGACCTCACTTCAACTCGATAGGAGTGTACGCATCCTCATAGTATTTCTTCGAGGGCAAAGTTTGTACATTTTTCTGACCATCCGTTTCGGGATGATGAGAGGCTGACATCTTTAACCGTGTTCTTAATGTGCGGAACACGGATTGCCAAAACCCCGTTGTGGGTCAAAGGCCACGGTCGGACACGAGTTCATGGGGTAACCCGTGGAGTTGAAACACTGTGTAGATGAAGACATGCGCACACTGGTGTGCAGTGATCGACTCGGGAACCGAAGCAAGATGCACCATCTTGCTGAAACGGTCCACAAACCCAGGAACACTATTATTCTTGTGAGTGTATTTGAAAAAACTGAACACAAAGCCCATGGAAACGTAATCCCAACACTGCCGATCCCAGCAGAGGCTGCAATGGCGCTTGAGATGAAGGGATAGGCTTCACCCGCTGACAAATATCGCAAGAACGAATGTAATTTCGCACAAACTAATACTGGTGTGGCCAGTAAAAGTCACGACTTACCGTAAGGTAAGTCTTTTCTGTACCACAATGTCTACCTGTTGGCGCATCGCGATATTTGAACATGATGCGCAAACGCAAATCATCATGATCGGGTACGACGACACGGGGATTGTATTCTGCAACTGCTGTGTATTACAGCAACCTTTTTCGAGTCGTAAATCGATCCGAAGAGGAACGTTATAGAGCCGGCAAATCCGACATGGATTTCCGGGATAAATTCACAAGACGATCCATGAAAAAAATACGCTTCTTTTCTCCTGCGTAGGCCTTCCGCACGTCGTCGAGTAATAGCGACGACGGCACACTGACTGACAACGCCGCGACAGTGGAAAAGGTCTCACTATTAGCGCGAGCAGTCGGATGTTAATAGACCCTACGCAAAAGCGCATCAGGGACGACGTTAAAGTCGTCCTGGTTTATATTCCACAGACAAGTTATACTTTGCGAAGAAAAACAGCCAACTCGTCATTCTTTGCGAGAGATGTGGACTTTTTACGGCCGTGCGTAGTGACGCATGGTCCGTATCGACGATGAACGGTCTATCTCCCAGGAGATAGACGCGAAACTCAGCCAGTGCAAATTTCATGGCAAGGAGTCCCTTGTCATGCAATGGGTAACTACGCTCAGCTGGTTGCAGCTGACACGATTGATAGCATACTACGCGCTCCGCACCACCTGTGTCATACTGCATCAACGCACAGCCGATCGCAAAATCGCTGGCGTCACAGCCCACATGGAATGGTCTGTCCTGTACAGCAATCGCCGAGATGGGCGATTGCATCAATTTCTGCTTGATAA